GTGCCTGTCAGCAGTGTCTCTTTCTTTTGCCGATAGAGGGCGCACTGGCGTCGTTATCTTTGAGAAATTCAAGTTTTTGCCCAACTTTCTATTTTTGAAACTTACACCAAACGTGCAAAGTAAATGTACTCGGACCAGACCTAGTACATTTTGTTAAATAAGTACTCAGTAATTTTTGTGCCAAATATTGGGTCCTAAGTTAGGGGCAAACTCAANTTTTATTTTTTAAAAATTGTCATAACTTGAGTTTGCCCCTAATTTAGGACCCAATATTTGGCACAAAAATTACTGAGTACTTATTTAACAAAATGTACTAGGTCTGGTCCGAGTACATTTACTTTGCACGTTTGGTGTTATTCTGAAGAGAATCAAAACAGACAGAAAACAGTAAATTGCAAGGAAAGAGAGTTTCTATGACTGCACATTCTTCTTCTTCTTCTTTTAGTTTATTCATTTTCAATTACTATTCTCCGACTCTGGTCATCATTTGTCACCATCATCATCATCACCATCGTCGTGATCACACCACAACGAACACACACAACCAACCATCCACATCCATCAACGATCAATCGGGATTACAAAGAATTCAAAAGTGTGAGGGGGAGCAACAATAATAACAATAATAATAGCATCATTAGTATCATCATCATCATCATCATCAGCTTGTAGGTTAAAAAAAATTGGGCACATGACTCGACATCACTCAAAAAAGTATTGCGACGAGCTGGTATCTGAGCAGCAGAAGAGATTCAGGAACCAGAATCGTCTGGAGGTGTGTGTGTGTGAGAGAGAGAGAGAGAGAGTATGAGAAGAATGGCTCTACAATGTATGTAATATATGAAAATGAGGAGGGGCGCACTACTTTTGAAAAAGTTAATAGAAAAGAGTGGAGGCAAAAACTACAAAAAGGGCAACAACTAAAGAGTAATGGAGAGTAATAAAGAGATATAATCAATAAATCAACATGATAGAAGGAAATTGTGTGGGTGTGGTTAGGCACCGATATTGTACACATGTTATGGCGAAAGAAAGTGTGTTGTTGCTGTAGAGTTGAAGTGGTGGTGGTGGTGGTGGTGGTGGTAGTTACACACTGGCACTGTGGTGGGGGCGGCGGCGGCGGCAATTCATTGATAATAATAATTCTCACTAGTGTTCATATAAAAAAGGTGGTGGTGGTGGTTGTGGTAGTGGTGAAGAGGCGTGTGTGAATATCTCATATGTAAATGTGCTTCACTCATTCTTTCATGCACGATTGTCCACGGCCACTGAAGCTGCTGAGGACTGAGGAATGCTATCAGCAGCAGCAGCAGCTTTTCCTCCCTCATCCCCAGAGTCCTTGATGGCCTTGATCTCCTCCTCCTCCTCCTTCTTCTTCTCTTCGGTGGTGGGCGTTGACTTGTCAGCCGAGCTCTGCTGTTGTTGCTGCTGCTGCATCTCCTTCAGGTTCTCCACATCTGCGGCGCTAATCTGCAGAAAGAGAATCCCGTTGACGACGTTGAGCATCTCGAGGACGGCGCTAATGGACGGCGGCTGAATCTGAATGGGCGGGATTATGGTATTGACATTGCCCTTGTAGATCTCGTTCATCTTCTTCTGCAGCACCACCGCCTGGTTGGTCAGGTGGCGCAGGCACTCGCTGCTCTCCTTCGTTTTCTCGTGGCCCTCGCCCAGCTCGCGCTTGTAGATGGCATAGGTCTCCTTCTCGTTGGTCAGTGCCCCGCGAAAGAGGCCCATGCAGGAGAGGGTGCGCGCGACCAGGTGGTAGCTGAGGGCCACCTTCAGGTGGCGTCGGCCAAAGTAGTGCAGGTTGAGGGCGAGGGCGTGCTCGAGGAAGCGCAGCGAGGACTCGTACTCGCCGATGGCGTGCAGAATCAGGCCAATGTTGCTCTGGGGAATTGGAAAGAAAAGGTTAGTCAACAGAAAATGACAAATAAATCAGCACACTCACATCAATAATGGCCATCTCCGGGTGGTTCTGGCCGTGAATGAGGGCGAGCAGGTACCGGGCGCGGTAGAGAAACTTGAGCGACGCCGAGATCTGCTGGTTGGAGAAGCTGTACAGCGCCAGAAAGTTCTGATGGGAAAGGAAAAAAGAATCAAAGAATTAGTTTACATTCACTCAAAACCTAGGCCAGCCCCCAAAGCCACTCACATATTCGGAAATGGTGTGCGGATGGTCAATGCCGTTCACCTTCTCGCTCATCAGCACCGCCTTCTGCTGAAAGGAGGTGGCCTCCTGGTAGTCACCGAGGACGTAGTTGATCCGCCCCAACAGCCGCAGACACTGCACAATGTCCGAGTGAAGGGGGCCGTAGACGTTGTTGAAGAGATTCAGAGCCTCGGTGATGTAGTCGTAGCCCTCGCGGAGAGCGCCCTCCTGAATCTTCCGCTGGCCCGTCTGAAAGAAGTTGTAGGCGTCCGAGGCCCGGGGGGCAATGTGCTTCACAATGGGAAAGACATTGAGGACGTCCTCCTCGCTGAAGGCCGGCCGGGAGCGGTGCTCAAAGTGGTACTCCCGCAGGAGGACCTGCAGCCCGGTGCGCAGCGCAAACAGCCGCAGCAGGGAGATCTTCTGAATGGCGTACCGGGAGAGGAGGGCGTCCAGGGAGTCCACGACGCCGCCTCCGTTTCCGCCCACCGACCAGCCATAGTAGGCGTCCATCTCGGAGCGCAGCTGCGCCCACAGCGAGCGGGCGGTCAGCGAGGCCCAATCGGTGCTCTTCGACTGGTCGCCGATCTTCTTGGAGGCAGCCGAGGATTTAGAAGAGCTGCCGCCATTGCCTCCGCCTCCCTTTTTGCCCTTTCGCTTGCCGCTGCCGTGGTGACCCTTTCCGGTCTCCTCACCGGCAAACAGAGCCGCCGGACTGGGCACCGCCGAAGAGAGGAGGCAGTTGAGAAAGTGCGCAATCGCCGTCGACAGGTACACCACCTCCACCGACTGAATGTAGGCGGTGAAGAGGTGCTTCGCAGAGCGGCACACCAGCTCGGTGACCACAATGTTCTGCATAGGGAAAAAAGGAAGATAAAATTAAATGAGGTTATCTTAAAACAAAGAACCTCTTACCATGAGGTAGTCGAGCGTCTCGTGCTTCGCCACCAGGTCGGCCACCCGGCCCAGGTAGCGAATGTTGATGCCGCGGCTGTGCATCGCCTCCGTCAGCGTCAGGCCGTCGTAGAGGTACTGCGAGTGCTCCAGCGATTCGCGAATCTAAAAAGAAAAGGAAAAGTTGTTATTTCAAAAATAAATCCTCAAAAACACCACCAAAACTTACCAGCGAGGGAATCTGCGACTTGATGAGAAACTCCGCCGCCTCCTTGATCAGCTTCTTCTGACGGGCAAAGGCCGCCCCCTCGACGTCCGCGTGGCGCACCCCCGGCGAGTAGATGTCCGGGTTGAAGCGCAGGTCAAACTCGGTCTCGCTCAGTGAGCCCACGTCGGCCGCCGCCTTCCGGATAATCTCACGGGTGTTCTCCAGGTCCCGCGGGGAGAGCTGCTGCTGCTGCGAATNAGAAAAGGAAAAGTTGTTATTTCAAAAATAAATCCTCAAAAACACCACCAAAACTTACCAGCGAGGGAATCTGCGACTTGATGAGAAACTCCGCCGCCTCCTTGATCAGCTTCTTCTGACGGGCAAAGGCCGCCCCCTCGACGTCCGCGTGGCGCACCCCCGGCGAGTAGATGTCCGGGTTGAAGCGCAGGTCAAACTCGGTCTCGCTCAGTGAGCCCACGTCGGCCGCCGCCTTCCGGATAATCTCACGGGTGTTCTCCAGGTCCCGCGGGGAGAGCTGCTGCTGCTGCGAATCGGCATCAACAGCTGCCACGTCCTCCTTGACAGCAACCTCTTTCGAGCTCTTATCATCATCTTCAGCAGACTTTTCAGGCTCACCTTCCGCCGTCTCTTTCTTTTCGGGACTGGTGGTGGCAGTGGCGGTGGCAATCGTCTCAATGAGCTTCTTGTAGTCCTCCGACACCTTCAGGCTGCTCTCCTCAATCTTCGAGGCAGCGCAGGGGGAGGACTTCTTGGGAGTCTCTTCAGCCAACTTCTCCTTCTTCTCTTCCTCAGTGATCGTCGAAGTGACCTTCTTTTCCTGCTCCTTAGCCTCTTCAGCGGCATCCTCCTCATCCAACTTCTCCATGGCCGCCTCAATGGCCTTCTTCTCCTCGGGAGTTTCCTCTTCAGCGGCGGCAGCCCCGCTCTTAAACTTCTTAATATCCGACTGCTGGAGGTAGAGGGCGGCCAGCTTGATGAAGAGAATGTACCGCGACTCAAAGAAGGCGTCCACCAGCTCCTGCCGAAGGGAACACAGTTTGTGCTTATGGCGGCGGGGAAAGCCGAGGGCGACCATCTCGGCGCTCAGCTCGGGCTTCTCCTGCTGCCCATTTTCCTGACCCTCCTCCACCACCACAAAGTGCGGATCGGGGGGAAAGGTGCGCAGCAGGTCGAGAATGTAGTGGCGACTGTCATTGCCTATAATGCCCTTGCACTCCACCGAGGAGCAGATCTCCACCTCGGTGTTCTCCTCGCCACTGAGCACCTTGTGCGGCACAATCTTCAGCGCCTGGCCGGCCTTGTTCAGCAGCTCCAGGTAGCGCTCATTGGTCACCACCGTCTTGCCAAAGTCAATCGACCCGTACACCACCGACTGCTCCTGGTCGCGCTCCAGAATGCCCGGGATGATGCTCTGGGCGGTCACTCGGTAGCCCTTGTAGTCCACCACCGCCGTCGCCAGCGTATAGAGGCCCTCAATGTCAATGGCGGCGTAGGCGCGCACGCCGTGCAGGTCGTTGCAGGGGGCGGCAAAGGCGGCCGCATCCCCTCCCAGCTCCTTGTAGTGGTCGCGGACGTCAAAGCCCAGGCTGAAGAAGATGTTGTTCCAGATGAACATCTGCATCTTCGTGTCCTCGCTCGGGTTCAGTGCCATGACGTTCCCGTCGACGACGGCCATCGCCCCCCGCGTAGCAGCGGCCACAAAGTCCGAGTGCACCTTAAAGATGGCCCGCTCGCGAATAATGCGCTCCGCTAGAGTCTTCCGGGGGAGCTCGCGCGTCGTCTGCAGCTCCTCATTCCAGTCCCGCGTCTGCCCGGGCATGTGCTCCTCATAGCCCAGTTTCGAGCTGAAGGCGTCCTCCGCCCGAATCGAGTCCACCGTGTGCTCCAGCGGCGGGGCGGCCCAGCTGTACAGCTGATAGGGAGTGACCAGGCGCTCAAAGGGGTGGCGCTGGTGGCGGCGGCGCTGAATGAGCGCGTAGTTTCGGCGAAAGGCCGGCGAGAGCGTGGCGAGCAGGTCCACCAGCGAGTGGTAGATCTGCTGGCGGCCCCCCACAGCCGGCTCGCCACCTGCAGCCTTCGGGTTGAACACCTCGTCGGTGGAGAGGTTCACGTAGAAGCCGCGCGTCGAGGCGGTAATGTGGATGCGCTTCTCCTCGAGGGTGACCACGTAGAGGTACATCAGGTCGCCCTTCAGCTTGCGACTTCCGGGCGGGGGGTTCCACCCAGAGGCGGTGAGCACCTTGAGGGCCGTTGGAGAGGAGGTGGTGCCGGCCGCCGCCGCCGACCGGGGCTGCGGAATGAGCGGCGTCAGCTGGACGGAGGCAGAGGCATTGGGGGATGAAGAGGAAGAGGAGGCTGTGGCGGTGGTGGGAGAAGTAGACGAAGAGGAGGAAGAGGTAGTGGTAGGCGGCACCGGGGGACTGGGCGGCGGACTACCCCCTCCGTTTTGATGTGATTGAGCATTGCCATTCGGCACCGTTGAAGCAGAGGTTGTGGTAGTGGCAGCACTTCCGTTTGTCGTAGAGGCACTGGCATTGTTATTCTCCACAATGGGCAGCACAAAGTCCGGCGGGAGGCAGTCCAGCTGGCCACTGCTGTTGCTGTCGTTGCGGGCGCTGGCAGCAGCCGACTTTCCACCTCCACCACTGCCACTTCCATTTCGCCCCTTTGAGTCGTACACGTCCGTCTGTGCAATCAGGTTCATAAAGGAGAGCGAGCTGCAGTCCACCCCGTTGTAGGCGTCCGAGGCGTCCAGCGACTTGAGCAGGTCGCGCACGTGTCGCACGTGGATGCGCGCCTCCCGCACCGTGTACGGCTCCTCCACGACGCGAATCACCGAGCCCTCCTTCAGCCCCTCAATGTTCTTCAGCTCGCTGAAGTTGTCCAGCGTGACGCCATCGAGCTGGAGGGAGAAGCAGGTTCGGTGGCAGGTGTCCTCGCGGTCAATCAGCTGGTGGTTGATCTCCTGCACTAGCTCCAGCGGCGAGACCTAGAGGGGAGTGAAAAAAGAGGGGTTAGANATCGAGCTGGAGGGAGAAGCAGGTTCGGTGGCAGGTGTCCTCGCGGTCAATCAGCTGGTGGTTGATCTCCTGCACTAGCTCCAGCGGCGAGACCTAGAGGGGAGTGAAAAAAGAGGGGTTAGAAATCAGAAAATAGTAATAAAAACATTCCAAATAACGTACCTGCAACTCAAAGGGCTCCATCCCCGGCGGGGCAATCTTCACGTTGAAGCCCGTGTCCTGGATGAAGATAAAGTCGTCCGAAGAGGCTGTGGCCTCGCCTCCCTTCTCTCCATTCTGACTAGGCGGAGACGAAGAGGCGGCGGAAACGGTAGCGACCGTGTTGTCCGCAGTTGCAGCAGCGGTGGCCCTTGTCGGCATTTCATAGTCGACGTCGTCGTCGATGAAGCCCGCGGCGGCGGCGGCCTTTGCCGTTCCATTGCTTCCCTTGGTGGTGGTCTTCGTGGTGGACTGTCCATTGGTCTGCTGACTGTTGGCATCGGTGGCACTACGGCTATCACTACTAGGCGTCTCACAGGCTGAAGGCATCTTCTCTTTGAGGTT